AAATCCTATAGCATTTTATATGCCATGTGGTTGCCATTGTCTTAATTTAGTTTTGTGTGATATGACAAATTCTTGTCATAAAGCAAAAACGTTTTTTGGAACATGTCAAACAATATACAACGTGTTTGCTAATTCTATCAAGCGATGGAGTGTTTTACTTGAGTTTATTGATGATTTGACTTTGAAATCTTTGTCTACTACCCATTGAGAAATTCATGTCGAAAGTGTTAAATCTATAAAAAAGTCAATTTGCTCAAATAAAGGAAACTTTGTTGAAATTATTTCAAGTTAGCGATGATGGAAAATTATGTAGAAATGTTGAATCTTTGGTAAATGGTGAACTTTCAAGTTTGGAATTCATGGTCAGTTTGGTTATTTGGCATGAAATTTTATATAGAATCAATTTGGTTACCAAAAGATTACAATCTAAATATATGCTTCTTGATGTTGCGGTAAAAAATTTAGAGGTATTAGTTTGTTATTTTGAGATATATAAGGAGACTGAACTTACTTCTGCCATTATTGAAAGCTAAACATATTGCAAATGAAACTAAAATTGAGCATGAATTTTCTATCGAACGTTCTTATTTTAGTAAAAACAATTTGACGAGATTCCAAATATGGAACGAGAACAACAATATGTTCAAGAAACATTTAAAACTGATTATTTTCTTGTTTTGGTTGATATGACTCTATCTCAATTGAAGACTAGATTTGATCAAATGAAAATTTTTGAATGCACTTTCGGTTTCTTGTTTGATGGGTCAAGGTTGGTTCATTTAAATGATGATGAATTGAAAAATTATTGTATGAATCTTGAAGTTGCTTTAACAAATGGTGATGATTGTGATATTGATGGGAAGTATTTGTTTATGGAATTGCAAATTTTGTAGGAAATGTTACCGCCAGAAGCATATAAAGGAGAAGCCATGGACATCAATTGAGATTTTGGAGTTTGCAAAAAAGATGGATATGTTTTCAAATGTGTTGCTTGCATATATGATTTTGCTGACTGTACTCGTCAGGGTAGCATCTGCTGAAAGAAATTTTTCAAACCTAAAATTATTGAAGTCATATTTGCGGTCTACCATGAGTCAAGAAAAACTAAATGAGTTAGCAATTTTGAGTATTAAAAGTAAAATTCTAGAATATGTTGAACATGAAAAAGTAATTGATATTTTTGCTTCAAGGACTGCACGAAGACATCGTTTTAGGTGATATACTTATACTTTGTAATTTGGGGTTTTTAGTTTTTATGTCTTCCTTTGTATTTTTCATTTTAATTAATAAAATTCGACTAGGTTCTAAACCCTTTAGTAAAAGTGTATCTTCCACCGTTTCATTTGCTTAAAAAATGGGCATAGGAGCATCTTTTAGCATATTTGCACAGGACATCAAAAACCTCATGAACGACCCTGACGACAAATAGCCAAATCAATCAACTTACGATAATATGCAAAATACATGCAACAACTTTAATATGATTCACGCTTGTTGATAAAAGAATAAATAAATATAATATTACACTTCAAATTTGAAAGTTCAACTGAGTGGTAATACCGTATAAAATCAAAAAAGTTCACCAGCCTGAAAGAAACTAACGACATCGTTATTCTGTATCAAGTCTATGTAAGCCTAAAATTGCAGAAAACTGATAAAATGAAACCCTTTTAGGCATCAAGTAAGAATTTTGACTGAAAAGACATTTGAATTCGCCTAAGTATGTAAGGAGTATGCCTCCTCAATATTTCGACCCTAGGGTTTCGAACTTAAAAAAACCCTTAGGTCTCGTTTGATTTGCATGAATAAAATGGATTTTGGGAGATTTGGATTTCAAATACATTCCAATCCCATATTTGTGGTTTGTTGGATTGTCTGGATTTGAAATTATATGATTTAAATTAAATCCTAGTATTTAATTGAATCCTACCAACATAGGATTTTGAAATCTTTAGGGAGAGCTTGGAATTTCACAGAATTTCGTATGATTGTATTTAATATGTTTTCAAAAAATGTTAAAAACATTTGTTTTGTAATGATCGATTAATAAAAATGTAACTTAATTATTTTTATAATTCCTTTATAAAATATTTATAAATAATATAATCCAAGTCCAAAGCTTACAAACCAAACATACCAATGATTTCAAATCTCCAATCCAAATCCCTTCAAAACAATCTTGCAAACCAAAAGGATCCATGTCCTATTTGATTTATAGGATTGAAATAGATTTGGGGGGATTTGGATTTCAAATCCACTTCAATCCCGTGTTTGGTTTGTTGGATTGTCCGGATTTGATATCCTAAGATTTAATTGAAAATCTACAATATAAAACAAATGACTTTCCGTCGGTGATTATTGACGGATCACCCAAAGAATACAAGTGGTTCGGTAAAATCCGATGTTTTTGGAGGAAATATAACAATGGATCACCCAGAGAATCCCTAGGTAATCAGTCACTGCTTTGAATTATCCACCAACTTTTGTGACGATTTTGTGACAAATCACCTTTTAACGACAGATTTCCCAAGAAAAAGTTTGTAGGTAAAAGCATTTCATTTAGTAGTGCTACAAACTAAGAATTTTAAATCCTTAGGGGGTGCTTGGAATTTCATGGGATTTCGTAGGATTGTTGAAATACGGTTTTAAAAAAATGTTAAAAACATTTATTTGATAATCGATTAATAAAGATGTAATTTAATTATTTTTATAATTATTTAGAATGCTTTTATGAATTATTTATAAATAATGTAATCTAATTCCATAACAAATCCAACAAACCAACACAAATGATTCCAAACCCTGCGAATCCAAATCTCTCCATAAAATCTAAATCGCTCAAAAAAACAATCTTGCAAACCAAACGGACCCTTAAAGGATGTAAATCATTCGTATTAAGAGAAGAAGCAAGATCTTCGGTAGCGGAGAAAGAGAAGCACTCCCCATCTCTTCTTCAAGGGTAGGGGGAAGGTGGAGGTTTGCGATTTTAGAGGAACGTGGATGGACGGGCCATGATGGTTTGACGACCTAAGGTGCTTAAAAATCATCGCAGGGTGTGGGAATTGGATGGGAACGTGGTTGGACATGAAGTGGCACGAGGAGGGAGATGATTAGGGTGTGTGGAAGAGAGTTTAAGGGGTCGTTTACCAAACACTTATCCGGTAAATGCTTACCGGTAAAATTTAACATTATTTGCTTGGTAAGCGCTTACTATGGTAAGAGTCGTCGTCCTCACTTACCGGGTAAGATTTTTTGTCCTTGTCTCGCTCTTATTGGGTAAGATTCTTGGTCCTTACCATATTCATTTAGTAAGATAAATGATGCGTTCGAGCTTGTACACAGATCAAAATAATTGGTACCTCTTAAAATTTTCAATATAAGCGTTTTAGGATAATTCCATGTCAGGGAGATCGAACACCATCGATTTAGAGAATTAAAACACAAGCGATCAAGTTAATAGACATGGAATACCATCTCTTTAGAGAATTTAAAACGCAAACGATCAAATTAATTGAGATCAAATACCATGGATTTAGGGCTTTCGCTGAACCGAGGGATTAGAAATTAGAGCCATTACGTCGATTTTTTGAAGCGTTTGGAACCTAGCTAATCAATTTAGATGCTTATTCTGTTTTTATTAAATCAAATAAAATGGATCACTTTACATTATATAAAATGCTAACAACGGATCATTGGGTAAGATTATCGCTCCTTGTTATGTTTATCTGTAAGGTAATTGAACTGACAAGTGCTTACCAAGGTAAGTGTTTAGTAAACGACCCTTAAATTTATACCACACTAATAATATACCCTCTCGTTACCAAACCATTTATCCATCCATCTTCCTTGTTGCTCGTGAGTTCCGGTTGGCTCTTTCTATACTGTTCGGTTATTATGCTTTGGATCTGTCTTCTTGTTGGTGGCTCTTCTGTCTGGTTGAGGGGCGTTCTTGAGGCTCCTTTGCAAGGCCCAATTTTGTTTGGCTTTTTAGGTGCTTCAATGTTGCTCGTGGAACTCTTCTTATGGCGGCAACACTTTGGTTTTCTCAAAAGTGGTGGATGGTGTCTGCTAATGATGGGGGAGTGTAGTTCAGTGTAGTTCTGCTAC